ATCCGCACTGATCACGCGGCACTACAGTACTCGCTGCGTGTGGATCAGCCGTCAGGGCAGATGGCTCGCTGGCTTGAGACCCTCCAGGAGTACTCTTTCACGATCCAACATAGGAAAGGAACACGCCATGTAAACGCAGATGTTTTGTCGAGGTTTCCGCGACCGGCTGAGACGTGTCGGTGCGCAGAGGGCTCGCTGCGTTGCGGCCCGCCGCTGCAGGAGGTTCCGCAAACGGTCGCTGCAGCGGGTTTGGGAGTGCCAGGGATAATCCCTGGAGCAGAAATTGGATTGTTGGGGTTGTCATTGAAACAGTGGAAGCAACTGCAGGTAGAAGATTTCTTCGCTGACCAGGATGAGGCTGCGTGCCTCTCGTTCAAGGGGATCGGAGGATCGCCCATTTTTGATGTTGACGGAGGGGTTGCTTGTTCGCTGGTATGTGGAAGCATAAAAATTTTGTATTGCTGTCCCGAGGGTGTTTCGGGGGAAACTCATTAACGAGATACATGAGAAATTGATGCATTTGGGGGAGAAGAAGACCGCGTTGACAGTGGGGAATGAATTTTACTGGCCGTGAATGTGTAATGATGTGAAACAGCATGTAAAAGCGTGCCAGGAATGTGTGCGGAGGAAAGCGCCGGCACGGCCATATCGTGTCCCATTGCAATCGATTCAAGTTTCGAGAGTGAAGGAAATTGTGGCACTAGATATTTTGGGTGCGTTCCCCGTCACCCCCCGAGGGCACAAATATTTGCTCGTCGGGGTGGAATACTTAACTCGTTGGCCGATGGCCTGGCCGCTAGTAGACCAGTCAGCGACGTCGATCGCTGAGGCTTAATTGAAAGGGTACGTCTTAGATAAGGGGGCCCCGGAACAATTGCTTACTGACCAAGGCAGAAATTTTTCATCGAAATTGATTAAAGACGTGTGTGACTCGCTGGCGACCAAAAAGATCCGGACGTCCCCGTACCACCCACAGACTGACGGGATGGTCGAGCGGCTGCATAGGATGCTGACGTCCATGCTTTGTCACCAAGTAAACACCGCTCAAGATGATTGGGACCTACATGTTGCAGTGACACTGGTCGCGTATAGATTGGCCCCGCATGCCTCAACAGGGTACTCGCCATTTTTTCTAATGTATGGACGGGAACCAGAAGATTGTACGGCAGGCAGCAGCCACGGGAGCCGTGGAGTGTTGGAGATAAAGCCTGGTTGCACTGTCCCATGGTGCCGATGGGATAATCCCCAAAGTTTCACCGCCCCTGGCAGGGGCCCGTTGATATTGTGGAGGTTTTACGGGATCAGAGTGTGAGAATAAAATTCGGTCGTCGGACATGGTTTGTTCACCCGTCGTGCCTGAAGAAATTTGTGGTTGGTGTTAAAGTAAAGCGTCATCCCCCATCCGAGAGTGGCCTGTATTGGATGCGTCCGATGAACCTGTGGGGAGGTCACAAGTGCGCGTGTCCCAGAGATCTACCCCCCGTGTGCCTGCAGGATCGCCCCTTTTGGGCAGGGTTGCTGACCGGACGCCGACTGAACGGCCACAGATCCGGACCAATGTCCGTCCCGACCGGGAACGACGGACAGCCCCACCAGCAGAGTGTCGCTGGGACAGGGATGGGCGCAGGGTGGAGCCCAGGAGCGCCCCTCGTTGGCGAGACGAGCGAGGCCCTCCCTTACCGCAGGGTGTCCCGTGCAGGGGAGATGGGCCGGCAGCGGGAACCCGTTCCAGGAGAAGTACACTACGTTGACTTTGGGGGGTTTGGGGATTCTGTATAAAGGTGTTGTGTGAGTGTCGTTGTGTGGTGCGTGTCGGGTGGTTGTACAAAATGGTTATGTGTTGCGAGTGCGTTCTGTATATATGTTATCATCATTCCATCCGCTTCACTCCACTACTCCACTTCGAGTATAGCGTAGCCGGGGACGGCTAGGTTCTTTCATCACGGGGGGGGGGGGGGGGGGGGGGGGGGGGGGTGATGTAGTGGAGTAGAAGTTACACATGGGTAAATTGGCCATATACAGTACATACAAACAGTGTGGGTCATGTAAGGTCGGGCAGGTGATGAAGTCACGGGTGGCGTAAGCAAGCTAAAGTAATTAAGGGAGTCAAGGGACGAGGGCTGTGATTGGTCGAGAGGCTGTTAGCGTTAAGTGGCGGGTCACGGAGTCTGGGCCGTTAGACAGGTGCGGAGCTGGCGGGAAAATGCCAGCGAGGCACGTGGCAATTAATTAAGGCTGATTGGAAAGGGGATAAAAACGCTAGGTGATTTGGACGGCAAAGGAGTTGTTGGCGAGAAGTGGAGACAGCAGCGGGTAGAGAGAGATGCGAAGAGGGAAGCCGGCAAGTGTTAGTGGGAAATAGATTGAGAGCCGAACCCAGAGGACAAAAAATAGCGTTAGCGAGAGTTAGCGTTAGCAGAGTGGAGATTACGTTATAGGTAGGTACAGGGAGAGTTAGCGATAGATAAGTCACTGTGTGTGAAGATATAGACAAGTCACTGTGTGTGAAGAGATAGACAGAGTCACTGCGTGTGAAGAGATAGACGAGTCACTGTGTGTGAGGAGATAGAGATAGAACCACTGTGTGTGTGGGGAGAGAAGAGACTGTGTGGGGAGACAAGGAGTATGAGCGGACGGTGCTGAGGGGAATTCGAGTGTTCGAGTTGGCGGAGCGCGGAGAGGAGAAATTATAGTGTGTGCGGAACGATGGAAATAAAAGTGACGATGGAAGAAAAGCGATTGTCGTCCGAGTGAACCCAAGGCACTACACAGGTAACAAGCTGAGATTAGGAGCACTCCCTTTAATAGTGTGCTCCTAATCTCAGCTTGTTACCTGTATAAAAGACACCTGGGAGCCAGAAATCTTTCTGATTGAGAGGGGGTCAAATACTTATTTCCCTCATTAAAATGCAAATCAATTTATAACATTTTTGACATTCGTTTTTCTGGATTTTGTTGTTGTTATTCTGTCTCTCAATGTTCAAACAAACCTACCATTAAAATTACAGACTGATAATTTATTTGTCAGTGGTCAAACATACAAAATCAGCAGGGAATCAAATTCTTTTTTTCCCTCACTGTATTAAGTAACCATAGCTTCCATTTGACGTTTTACAAAAAAATATAATATTGGTGTTTTGGTACATTCAGTATTGAACTTTGGTAAAAAAAAAACATTTAAATAAATATCTACATTTTCCTTTTACAAATGCTGCCCATCTTTAATTCACCACACCTCTGTTTACAGCAGCGACATTTGCTTGTACCTCGACCAGACCTCAAATGAGTGCGGGGGGGGGGTAACAAGAGCTCGGTGTTTGTAAAGAGCAAGGTGCGGCTGTGAGAAGAAGCCACTTGTTCTCATAACGAACAAGCAGCAGCCTTTTCTAAGTGCCCTGCTGTGAATGGCGATCTACATTAGTTCCTGTTTTAATTCAGTTCGGGGATAAGTCTATTGAATGTGCAGTATAATACATTAATGGTGAATGTGATGAGGGGACCACCTTTGACATTACATCAACGCTCCTCCTTCGACGTTGCTCCTCGTGTTCACAGCGTGCTATTTCAATAATTTCCTTTCATAGTAAAATAACTATTTACTATTTTCATTTGACCAGGTCAGGCCCATTGAACTATATAGCTCTTTTTCAGAAGTGACCTGGCCACAAATGACAGCTCAACGAAGTGGCTTATCATGTGGGAGTGTATAGCAGCCAAATACTCTAAACGCATGTTTCTAAATATGGAGGGAAAAAACGGAGGACCTGGTGAAAAATCCACGCGACCACGGGGAGAACATGCAAACTCCACCTATACAGGTGTCAGGGTCGGAATCTAACCCACAGGAGAGGTAATTGACATCTCGCCACCGTGGCACCCAATGGAAAGAGTATAAAGTTGCAAACGAAATAAAGCTAATCTTGACTTAAAGCTTTCGTGACTGCAGGAATTAATATTATTTGGGTTTTTCGGTAAAGTCACGTAGATAGGTTCAAATAAAATTTTAAAATTACCAAAAACTACGACGTTCCTCCCCCACCCCCTTTTCCTGATGATGACCGCTTGTGTTGCAATCAAAAGTCGGAGTTTTTTGTTATTTTCTTTGAACCTATCGACGTGGCTTTACCGAAAGACCCAAAGAATAGAAAAAAAACAAGACGTGAAGTGAATGTGTAATAGCAGCTGGTAGGATTGTTGACTCATCACGAGATCCCGGGAGGGTATTAGCACGCGGCGCGGTAACGTAGACACAGGGAACCTTCAGACACCGATGGTAAGTCGCGGAGCTCAGCGTGCGACGACCAAAAACGAGACCCTTGCACTTCTGCGAGGCGAGTGGGGGGGGCATAAAAAAAACAACGCAGGTCGAGCACAGTGGACATTTCTCGACATTCAAATTCCTGCTACCCGATTCAATTACGTAAATAGTAACCCGCATTATAATTGCATCTACATATTAGCTCCGAGATTGGGGGACCGTCTTCAAAGCGGTTTATACTGCATTCTGATGCAACAGGCCCCCCCACCCCCTATAAAATAAACATCGCACCTCATTAATTGGATCGTGTGTCAGCGCTCGCATCGCAAATTGGAATTGCGATATTCTCTTTAAATAGGCAACAAGGGGTCAGTGTCCTTGAGTTAGAGCCAGGCTCGTCCATGTAAGGAGCTATTTAGTGAAAGTGGCACGTTCTGTGTTGGTATCAGATTAGTCCTGTAAAGGTAACAGATGCTGCCGCTTCAATACAACACCGCTCTATATGGGAGCAAATGTGCTGGAGAATGGGGATTTGTCTGACTTGTCACATTTTATTTATAAAGAGGCCGACTGCCTGCACCTCCACAACAAGCCAGATGTAGGAATAAGCTCATTGCAAATCGTGGCTAAAATACTATGCGATGGCCTCTTTTAAAAATGCACGCACCAAAAAGAATCACACATTCATATGTGGTTATATTAGGTTGTGCTTAACATCTTACAACTCTTTTCTGCTTAACAGAAACTGAAGTGTGCAAAAGGGATAATGCTGTAGATGAGGAGAGAAAATTCTTGGACTTGGTCAGCAATAAGAATATGAAGTTGGCTGAACGGGTCATCATTCCAGCAAAACAGCATCCAAAGGTACAACAACGTTGATTGTTTAAGACACTGCATCATAGTGTCTGATGGGGAGGGGCGGGTTGTCTCTATGCAAATGTCCTTGGAATGGCGGTGTGTTATTGGGTAGGCTTGTTCGTGGCCAGGGTTGTTATTGGCCAAGCTTGTTATTGGCAAAGTTTGTTATTGGCCAGGCTTGTTATTAGTCAGGCATGTTAGTGGCCAGGCTTGTTACTGGCCTGGCTTGTTACTGGCCTGGCTTGTTATCGGCCAGGCTTGTTACTGGCCAGACTTGTTACTGGCCAGACTTGTTATTGGCCAGGCATGTTATTGTCCAGGCCTGTTATTGGCCTATTTTGTTATTGGCCTATTTTGTTATTGACCAGGCATGCTAGTGGCCAGGCTTGTTATCGGTCAGGTTTGTTATTGGCCAGGCTTGTTACTGACCAGGCTTGTTATTGGCCAGGCTTGTTATTGACCAGGCTTGTTATTGACCAGGCTTGTTCCTGGCCAGGCTTGTTCCTGGCCAAGCTTGTTTTTAATGTATTTGCACTTCTTTTGCCTCATTTTGTTAAAAGGGTGGCAGTAGTCTGTGGGATTGGTTTGAATTGGCCAATGAGATGGTGGTGGAATATGCATCCCATTGGGGCAGAGAAACCTGGCCAAAAATTGCAATTATTTTAAAATAGATTTTATCTAAATAAAAAATGTCAAAAACATTAAGAAAACTACCTAAATTAGCCATTTGTTTCACGTTTAAACATTTTTGTTAGGTAGAGTGCCGCCCCAGCGCCCATAGAGACCAGGCGCCACTGACTGCATGCTGAATACGTGCATGCATACTGTCACCGTGGCTCATTCACTCCCGACTTCATGATTTCCTATTTTTTGTGAGCAGTGACATCACTATAGCAATGTTACAATAGCCACGTCCCTGCATATGGGGTCTTAAGTCTTGTTAACAGTTCTCTGAGTCCATGAAATATATGGTAATGTTTATACATCAAATAAGTAATTTGTGGTTCTAGGATAATGGGAAGTACCGCGTTTTTTACTTTGTTTTACAGAGAACACTGTGCATTTCCTGATTTGTGTTGTCATGCAATGTGTAATTTGTATATGAATCCCACCATGCATTGCATTCATTCTCATCACCTGCGTGCCTGTGGTATTGCGGCTGTAGAGATTCTTCCTTGTTCGGTACAATGGCCTCTTTCCCCAGCAATCATGCACAGAATCGAGCTTTAATGGTTTCCAATCTCATGAATATGGCCAGAGCACGGCTTGCTTTCGCTACGAATATTACTGGCTCAAAAGCATTCACACATCCACATACTTCTGTGGGGTGAGGCTGAGGGACACTTTGAATCACCGAGCATAATTTATTTCAACAGTTAATTGATTGTTTTCCCGTTTATTTTCGATGCTTAACTTCATAACGGAGCCATTTCAGATCGGATGAAAAAAGAAAAACGTGGATGCTGAGATAATTTGGATTCATATGACGTCCAATTGCAACTGGATCTCGAGGAGCAACAATTGGATTGTGCGTGTCCTCATTTGAAATATTTTATCTTTTGCTTTGCAGTTCAATTTTGTGGGGAAGTTGCTGGGGCCACGAGGTAATTCTCTCAAAAGAATGCAGGAAGAAACCGGAACCAAAATGTCAATTTTGGGAAAAGGATCAATGAGGGACAAAGCTTTGGTAAGTCAAAATGGCATGAATAAGGACTTTTTTAAACAGGCACATTGGCAAAAACCACGTTTAGCTACAACATAACCACCGCTTTACTTTAACACCAACCATTTATAAAGCGAGACTTTGCAAACATATATTAAATATTCAGACAGTGATGTGATGTAACATGGACCCAAATCATAATAACCGAAATGTGCAGTCGATTGGCGTCTGGCGCTGTAGTGCGTGTTCGCGACTCTGACCGTGATTTCATTATTTGGCAGGAGGAGGAAATGAGAAAGAGTGGTGAAAACAAATACGCACACCTGAGCGAGGAGCTGCACGTCTTGATTGAGGTGTTTGCTCCACCGTCTGAGGCCTACAGTCGCATGGGTCATGCCCTGGATGAAGTGAAAAAGTACCTCGTCCCAGTAAGAACCGCGCATGAGAGACCCATGCTTAAATTGCGTACGCAGGCCCCGTGCGAGCCTTCTAACAGAGAGACAGAACGCGTGTAGTAGTGTGCGACTCCTCCGCATGCACTTTACAACCACACTCCAAACTAGAGACTTCTCCTGCTCCTCAGCAAAAAAGTATTTGGAAACCCCCGTTGCATAGTCGGTGGATACGTTAACATTTTGTCATAATGACATTGAATTAGATCATATTGAATATTTGATGTATTTAATATTTATTAATACTATATATATTTATTAATATTTACCTATTTCTAATTTAGGAGAATTCTCAATTGACTAAGAATGCATTAAATATTAGTTTATTACGATTTATTTTATATAATATTTAATGATATCATATTTAAGCCTGTAGTAGCATGCGACTCCTATGCACATGCGCTTTACAACCGCACTCCAAACTAGCGACTGCTTCTGCTGCTAGGCCAAAAAACATTTTGAAATCCCTGTTGCATAGTCAGTGGATACTGGATAATAAACATACATTCAAATAATAATATAAACGCCCAACTTTATCTATTTTTGTGAACATGATGAATGCTTGAGAGAGAGAGAACGAGGCGATTCGGTGTTGATTTCCAGAATCGATTCCCAGAATCGACTTGGCCCCCACCGACACAACTTTGCCATTTGTTTTGCGACGACCACAATTTCCCATTCTCCCCGCATACGCTATCACAATCAACAAGTCGCAAGGACAGATGTTCGATTACGTTGGTAAGCGCACTACTGTATCTATCTTTCTATGATGAATGCTTGAGAAAGTGAGAGAGAAGAGCGAGGAGAGGCCAAGGAGAGGCGGCTGCTCTTCTCTCTCTATTTGCCTTCATAATGTTCCCTAAAGATTTTTTCAATGCCAGTAACAAATTATGGACGAGGACGAAGATCCCATCGCAAACAAGCATCGAAAGGCAAACGAACGAAAGCAAAGATGGTTGGCCAAGCAAAGTCAGGAGTCGCTCGAGAGAATTTGTGCAGCACATTGTGAATCTCAACAATGTTACATCAATCGACTTACTACTGAGCAATCGCAGTCGCGGCGTGAAGATGCCGCAGCCCATCGACTTCGGATCACGGCAGGAACTCCTGAACAATCGATCCGCAAAGAAGCCATCAATTTCGATGACACTCGAGTAGAGGCGCACAATTTCAGTCCACTGAACATCATCTGCCAGTTCTGCGGCTCGAGGAACTTCATCTCAGAACGCCATGTTGATCGGAAATTCATTTCGTCCTGCCGTAAAGGTAAATTCCAGTTGCTAAAGCCAAAGGGCATCAACGGAGTTGAGCTGGAATATCCTGAGATTTTCCGCGCATTGCTGACTGATCCAACTCGTCCGAATCATGCTCACTTCCGCGATCATATACGATCCTACAACAGCACGGTCTCCTTCGCGTCGATGGGAGCGAAGATCGTGGATTTGCCAAAACGAGGCTCATATGTCTTCAAGGTCCACGGCCAGACATGTCACCGCACATCTCACCTGCAGCTGCTTGACAATCAAGCACCGCAATACGTGCAGCTGTACCTGCTTGACAGCACGCAAGCAACGGAGATCCATCAAGAGCATACCGCGAATGCTCAGTGTTGTCAACCTATCCTGGACGAAATTGATTGCTTTTTCCACCGGCACAGCAGATTCGCCAACAGCTACCAGTTGATGCACAAATTCGAAGCATGAGAAGTTTACCGTGCACTTCAAGCAGGAGAAGAAATTCCGTTGGTCAGCATGGTGCTGATACGTGATAGTCAGTTGCATCAACGACGATACAACGCACCAACATCAAATGAAGTCGCGATGGTCTTCGTCAACGAGGATGGCGAGCCGCCGTTCGAGCGTGACATTCACATCTACCCGAGGAATCCACAGAATCCCAATCAGCAGTTCATCAACCTCAATACGTATGCAATTCTGTTTACGTACGGCGAGCCCGGATGGCAACCGAACTGACAGTGCGAGGCTTACGAGGGTGCACAACTGTATAGAGTTTGGAACAACGTCAGCATGCTTCAGGGTAAAGCAGCTGAAATGGTGATTCGAGGCTACTTCAATCTAGTCATGAGTGCCGGAAAGTTGACTCAACAATGGTTGGTGGATTCGGACCTGCAAGTCGAGGCCAACAATCTCAACTATAACTGCCAAAATCAGCAGCGTCCGCGAACAGAGCAGTACCAAGGTCTCGCAGACCACGTCGCAAACTTAGCCCAAAATGCAAACATTGCAGCTGGCGTCGCAGTCATCCTCCCTTCGAGCTTCGAGGGATCGCCGAGAAACATGCGCAAAGCGATGCTGCGATGCATTGTCGATCTTTGTGAGATGGGGTGCACCCGACCTCTTCATAACGTTCACCGCAAATCCAAGCTGGCCAGAAATCACCGGCAACCTTCGACCGGGTGATCAGCCATCAGCTTGACCCGACTTGGTGGCGCGTGTATTCAAAATCAAGTTGGACGCTCTCATCAACGATCTGACCAAACACGGCGTGTTTGGAGACTTGAAGGCGCACGTCTACGCCATCGAGTTCCAGAATCGAGGCCTTCCACACGCCCACATCTTGGTGACTCTGTGAGCTCAGCACAAGTTCACAACTGCCGAACAGATTGACCAATTTGTGTGCGCCGAAATTCCAACACGGGATAATCTACGACTGTGCGATATTGTCACGAGATGCATGATGCACGGTCCGTGCGGCGCTGCAAACCTATGCGCCCCCTGCATGAACGACGGAAAGTGCAGCAAAAGTTTTCAAAAACACGACAATCCCGAATGTGAGCGGCTACCCACTCTACCATCGTCGATACGCTGAGCAGGCAGAAATCAGAGGCGTTTTGATGGACAATCAATACGTCGTGCTGTACAACAGAGGCAATGTGGCGGCTCCTCGAGTCGATGATGCGCGATCGCTCGCACACGGTGATGAGACTGCCAGTCCATCTGCCCAACCAACAGACGATAATGTTTGAAGCCGGACATGAGGAGGAAGCTCTGCTAGCAGCACAGACCAGTCTCACAAAGCTGGAATCGTGGTTCTTGCTGAACGGAAGCGATCAAGACGCATGCCAGTGGCTCTATACGGACATCCCACAGCACTACATCTACGTTCGAGGCAATTGGCAGAAGTGGCAGAGAGGAGCCGACAAGATCGTGTCCCGCATGTACACAGTCAGCATCAAATATGAAGAACGTTTCTATCTTCGAATGCTGCTGTTGCATGTTCGAGGTGCGACCAGTTTTGAGTCACTGCGGACCGTCGACGGAGTAGTGTGCGAGAGCTTCAAGGCAGCAGCTTCAGCGCGAGGTCTTCTTGATTCGGACGACGAGTGGGATTGCTGCCTGACGGATGCCGGCACCTACATGATGCCGAAGCAGTTGTGTGAGATGTTTACTTTCATCTGCTGCTTCTCTTAGCCCGCATCACCTCTTAAGCTGTGGGAGGACCACAAATTGGACTTAATTCTCGACTACATGTGAAGAGATGCCGACGACACCCCGATCAACAAAGCACTTCACGACATGAACAGCGTTCTTTAGCAGCACGGATTCTCTTGCAAAGCAATTGGCTTGCCAACACCAAAGGGAAGCCCACCATAAGAAGGTGTGTATGACCAAGTTGAGGAAGCAAACGAGGGTGCACGACGTCTCGCGTTGCTCCAACGAGAAGCAGCTCGACGCGTTCAATAAGATCATCATGGCTGTCGATGACGAGAATGTGATGAACCAATGCTTCTATCTCGATGGTCCTGGAGGTTCGGGCAAGACCTTCCTCTACACAATGGCGTACATCTGGGGCCATTTGAAATGGCAGGCATCGCCGAAACAATGCTCAAAGGAGGACGTACTGTTCACAGCGGATTAAAACTTCCAGTTCCCTTGCTCGACACTTCAGTCTCTTCCATGCGGCCTGCATCGCCACAAGCCGAAGTTCTGCGCAAAGCTTCAATCATCATCGACGAAATTACTATGCTGCCGAAGAATGGACTTCACTGCATCGACAAGCTCTTGCGCGAGGTGATGGGCAACGAGAAACCATTCGGTGGCAAAGTCTTCGTTGTAGGCGGCGACTTCCGACAGACTCTTCCCATTGTGCCGCGAGGATCGTGAATGGACATCATTGAGTGCTGTATCAAGGCAAGCCGGTTGTGGAGGAACTTCACGCAGCTCATACTTACGACAAACATGCGCAGCGAGGAACAAAATGAGCACAACGAATGGCTGCTTAAAGTTGGAACAGGCAGCTTGCCCCCAGTGCCGGGAATCTTTGAAGAGAGCACAATTCAAATCATGGAGCAGATGGTGGCACCGGAGGATCTAATCGAATCCATCTTCGCCAGCATTGGAGATATGTCTATAGACGACCTTTCGAAGCGAGTCAGTGTCGCACCGACAAATGCACAGACACTCGAAATTAACTGCAAGAGCATCGGACAGATGCCTGGCGAGCCCGCCATCTACTACAGCGCCGATTAAGTCGTGAGCTAAGATCCCAGTGACACAATACATTTTACAATCGAGTTTCTCAATGACCAGACGCCATCGGGAATGCCACCACACGTCCTGCTGCTGAAGAAGGGTGTCATCATGCTTCTGTGGAATGTCGATCCAAAGAAAGGACTTTGCAATGGCACGCGACTGATTGTCGAGGAGTTCGTGAGAAATTTCATCGAGGCACAGATCATCTCCCAGTATAACCGAGGTGATTCGGTGTTGATTCCCAGAATCGACTTGACCCCCACCGACACGACTTTGTCATTTGTTTTGCGACGACAATTTCCCATTATCCCCGCATACGCTATCACAATCAAGAAGTTGCAGGGACAGACCTTCGATTACATTGGAATCGATCTGCAGATGGCGGTCTTCTCGCACGGCTAGCTCTATGTCTCCTTATCTTGATCCCGCAATCCCAACAGGTGAAAGTCCGCATTGAACCGAACGCCCGTTTTCAATTAAGTCTTCCAGATGTAAAATTATATAAGCTTTTAATGAAGAAATTAAATTATCTAATGCAAAACATAATACAATTCAAAGATGTTTCATTTCAAAACTTCAAAACGGAGCATCGGGTGCTTGTGTGAAGACATCGTTCGTGTGCAAATTTTGTGACTTTCCTGGGCGAAGGCCGTAAATGGATTTGAGGGGCACCAAAGGCGCCCCCAAACAACCTAACCTAATACATTCATATTTAAGCCTAATAGCATAATATCAGACTATCAAATGATGAAGTTGGCCGAATCGTTACGATGTAACATAAGCATGATATGTAAGACAAAGGTATACCTGGTTACTTTTGTTACTGATGTAAAAGTGCACTTTTTTCAACGTGGATCCTTTGCATGTCAGGGCTTTCTGGTGCTTTCGTTTCGTCAGACACAGAAACATATTCAACAACAAAATAAGGTCCCACATCTCGAAGCAGGACCCTACCAATAATATTCTTGAGACTAAATTGAGACTTCCCTGTGTAACGGATAATAATCATAGAATTTACATATAATAAGTGTCTCCTTACTAAAAAAATATCAGAGAGTGGTGCTCATCTGCAATGGCAGCCCTGAGCCAGTGGTTGAAATTCCACATTCCTGTGGAGCGAACCAGTCTTGGATAGAACATCTGTTTTATTAACTTCCCACAGATTGGAAATCATTTAGCCAAATGTGGAGGATGAGTTGAGGCCCAACTGGGATATGAACCTATAACACTTACAGTTGTGGTTCGGGGTTACTAAGCACATCAACTACACGGGGGAGGCAAAACAATCCCGTTGTAAATATGACGCTACCCTTTCATGCAAACATCGGGACGGGCAAATTTTGTTGACTCACCCAGCATCATAATGTGCACTTCGATGTTTTTTTGTCTATCGTGATAAACATAGGTGCTGGATGAAGCGTCAGTCTGTGTGCATTAAATGACTCTTCTTTAGATGTTTTGCTTCCCTTTATGCTTTAAGTGCATTAACGCTGTACCGTCCCACATGTTTGAATGCAGCACAATGTCATACGTTTAAAATGGTATAAAAAAATTGTCAGTCAAATGTTGATAGTGAAAATTAAATCAGAGGTTCACCATTCCGGGTTATGTTGATCACAAACTTAGAACATTTTAGTGACCATAACAGAAAATCGTAATTTCACCCGAATGTAGGTTTTGAAAAAAAAATCATTATATTGCTAAAGTTATAATGTTGTAAAAAAAGTGCATAATAATTATAATAAAATGAACTAATTCCACATTTTCTCTATTTACTTGACCAGGAAAAATCTCACTTAGTCTCAAGAACACTTTCAGGGTTTTCTATTTGGGATGTATGGTGGCTAATTAATATTTCAATGTTTTTGGACATGAGTGGAGGACATGGGGGTGCGTGGAGAAAACCCACACCAATGAGGGGATAACACTTGCACTCTGCAAGAGAGGTTAGGAAACTTCAGGTTAATTGCTGACCCACCCCTTCCATGTTAGCAAGACTAGTCCCATACATCTCCGTCTATGCAAATACCTTTTCTTTCTCTGCTGCTTACAACTGCCTCCTGTCTGCAAAATATTACATTATACTTCCTAATTCCCTCTGATGAACAAAGATCACCATTACACATTCGTGAGATGCAATTACGTTTAGATGCTATGTAAATCCAAATTGTAAGGTAATGGTATACTCTCTGCAAAATTGCCTCCTACAGGCCATTCAATATTGTTATGCCTGTTTACAGAGGAAAGCATCACTGAGTCTCATTACTCTTTTTGCAGGAGGGAGTAATAATTGCTATGTTTCCCCCAATTGAGTAAGTTGCGGGTAACTTAAAATTCGGCAAATCTGGATGACGCTGGCACACAATAGCCTACTTTTGCGATTGTTGTTGCGCGATCTTTAATGTCCACTGTGAAGCAGATTCTAAGCGTATTTTATGATTAATACACCCGCAGTAATAACCAGGGCCGCCACTTGATTCTACCTGTGGACCTCTGCAAAACAAACCGCTGGGTCGTGTCCCCACCCCCACCTGCAAGTCACTGATCTATCGGTAGCCGTATTACAAAATAGCTCAACTTCTACGTGGTCCACCAGAACTGCGTCCACATCTCTGGGATAATGGCAAGGACCATTACGTTCAAACACATTTACAGGCTATATATTTTTGACAAGTACAAGTGCGATCCGGCACTTTCAACGAAAATGTGCGCCATGGAATCCGTGTCAGATACGATGCTCAGCTTGAGTCCACGTGTGGCGTGGGCAGGACTATAACGACGAGATCCGTCAGGAGCAGCTGCGGGAACTCAGCTTCTTGAAGGGCGAGGATGACGTGGAAGTGGGAGCCGACACCCTCAGCAGAGGGGGTCACAGTCGGGGCCCCCTGCCTTCCATGCCCACGCATGGCAGGTACCCGGCCATGGCACCATCATCATCACCTTTCATCATCACGATTATCATCAGCCATAGTATTATTACCATAGCATCATCAGCCATCATCATCCATATCATTATCATCAGCAGCCATTCTCATTATAATGATAATTATCACCCATCATCATTATCATTATTAGACATCGATGTTATCATCATCGACCGTCATCATGATCATCCCAGGTATTACTTTGCATAAGTTACCAATGAAGGGATTTCCACACTATATAAGAAAATAAAAACACAAGCTTATCGCAGAAAATAACCAAATGTCAGTCAAGGCACTGAAATAAAGGAATGGGGATACATCAGTGATCGGTGTATCCAGGACCAATCATATATATCACCCACTTCGTCAATTGAAGATCCTGAAAATTTATGCAATAGTGAACAAAGGTGGGCAAAACATCCGTGTCAATTAAACAATCGGCGTGTCACACATATGAAGGCAAGGAACCAAGAGAATAATTGTTGAGTTGGTCTGAGATAAAGAACACAGTCTCATATATATACATCTGAACCCTGATATTGACAGTGATTCTGCACTGGGAATTTATATTGGTCTTGGTACTATACTGCATTATGTTGTATGAACATCTGATGCTGACTTCCTGATTCTGGAACTTAATCATGGAAGTTGGCCAATTAATAATACCAATGTAAGGATTTAGCTCAGCTGGCAGAATAATGATCTCATGAAAATGAGATTTTGAGTTCAAACTCCAACCAAGGCTAACTGAGCCCTTCCCGGGTTTAATATAATTAATACTACCAGATGAGCACCGCCGAATGGACACTTAAGTCATATATTTAAAATTGAGTTATCCTTGCCATATGAATGTAGAATTTCCCCCACTATTAATGACCACCAGTGGCGATGAGCACCACTCAACGTTTGTTTGAGCACAGGGACAATTGTGGACTGCATAGCTCCGATGTTTTTTGAGTTGTAACCGGCGTTGTCAAATCCACAAAGCCGGAAGTCGCCAGATAAACATCAAAAAGTCGCTAGATGTCATTATTTTGACATGCGAAAGTTGCCAAAAAAAGTCGGCAGAAAAATTTCAAAGTATGCCAGATAGCAAAAAGTAACAATTGCTCGATATTGCTATTCGAAGTATTTTATAACAAGGAGTGACGTTCAAGTGACATTTGGCGACACCGCTTGCAGCGTGCATTATTCGGCACGGTGTCCGTCGTTTTTTTAGTTCAGCTCGTGAAGATGCTCCCAGCACGTGGAGTGAGATGGCAGAGCACGCGGCCACAATGTGACATGTCGGGAGAAAGCTACGGAGAGCACTGCCACGACAGTCCTTTGCGGCTGCATTAGGCCGTTGTGTTTTTGTTGTTGTTACCATCATGACCCGAACCCTCGTGTGCCTCTCCTTGTTTGCTCCTCACCCGTGTGGCCCCAGGGCCGTCTTGCGAGTGGCGGCCGCCCCGCGGGGCCTCCCCCTGGCCCGGGGGCTCCCGCCCCCCCTCTCTGTCGGCAGGGGAGCCCCGGCCCCTCCTCGAACTCGGCCGGCAGCCGCGTACCGAGCGGCGCCGCCACCCCCGCCGCCTCCTCCTCCCCCGCCACCTCCGTTGGCTCAGGAGGCCTACGAGGAAGACTACGTGAGTGAACGGGCCCGGTGCCGACCCGCGTTTCCCAGGCTCGACGTGCGTCGCCGGAGCAGCGGCGCTTGTTGAGAGGCACCGTGTGGAGACAACGCAAGGGAGTGTGGCGCACCTGAGTCGAGTCATGGATACGACTTTTATTAGGGGCGCCCGTGGTGGCGAGATGTTAACTACCTCACCTGGTATGCAGATCGTGGGGTTTCGATCCCGACCCTAACGCCTGTATATTTTGTGTTTTCATATCTCTCTCCCTGTGGTCGTGTGGATTTTTCTCCGGGTCCTACTCTCCACATTTAGAAACATCCCACTTCGTTGAGCTATCATTTGTGGGCAGGTCACTTCTGAAAAAGAGCTGCATACCTCAGTGGGCCTTACCTGGTAAATAAAAATTATACTGACCATGCGCACAGTGTCCAGTCCCCTGAGCCAAACAGTCTGAGTTCCCTCCGCTTCTGTCTTAACTACCCTGAGGCCCCTCACCTCCCGCAGGTTCCCTCCGCCACTTCTCCGCCAATTAGTTGTGTTGCTCAGCCAATTAGAATAAATCGGGTTCACTGCTGAGTCAATGAGAGGCTCCCCACGCCTTTCGAACGACACCTTGAATAAACACGTTAAGGGGTCACCTTCCCGACGGCCTCTACATACTCTTTGGTTTTTTCGGTAAAGTCTACGTGACTTTACCGAAAAAAACAAAGAGTAATTCCTGCAGTCATGAAAGCACCAAATCGGGCCTCTACATAGTTGAAATGTTATTTCCTCTGAGCAGTTAGATCAATTCCTCCCTTCTACTGTTTGCATAGATCTTTGAAGCAGAATAGGAGCATGTGTGATGCGCATTCCAACGACTTTATTATTTTTTGTACGTTAATCACGGACGTTGTCTGTCCAAAACGCTAGGGCACCGGGTAGCATTTGCACGAGGCCATAGCTTGTTGATGAGACCCCGTGAAACTGGAACTTGCCCAAGGTTGCTTTGTTCAAACAAACACTCATGAGAAACATTGATGTGGAGGGACCAGGTATCAGAGTTGGAATATTGTATCTTTCAGCAATTGGACCGTTTAGCTCTTCATAATGATTGGCAACTGCTTATGTAGATGTTAATTAGTGATGCCCAATAGCTATATAATACACTGCATACTATATTTTTTGGGACAGTCTTTCCATATAAGTATGATTCACTCTTTTGTTGGTGTAAATATAATGTTTTAGTCTTAAACCTGTTCTATTATTGCTGCTGTTAATATTCCATTGACATGGACAGTCTTTGGTTTTTGAACTCGGCTTGTTCAACATAATGATATGCACAACAACTCACTGTTGTGATATGCAAACTTACCTTGCATTCTGCTTTGAGGCCCCTTACGCAGATTTCTCCCCTTTTTATGTTCGTCAGGATTACGAAAATGGATATATCGCTGAGTACGAAGATTCGTTTGACGGCACTTTCCCCTCGCAGACACAAAGGCAAGTAAAGCATGCTTTTTTGTGCAAAATATTTATTATATATTTTAAAAAAACTACGTTTTATTTCACCAGGTAAGGCCCACTGAGCTATGTAGCTCTTTTTCAGAAGCGACCCGACAATCACAAATGCTAGCCCAACGAAGTAGCTTATCACGTGGACATTTATAGCGGCCAAATACTCTAAATGCATGTTGATTTTATAAGTTGCATTAGGCGATTGCACGTTCACGATTGTGCCTTTTAATCCGAACGTGAAAATGTGGCGTGCGCACCCATTGTTGTGAAACAGTGCCAGTGAATACTACGCAGGATATGGGCAAGAGGAGTACGGGTCTTACGGTAAGGACCACGGTAAAACAAGACGAATGTGCTGGAATATAAAATGCTCCTTCAGTAACAAATGAATCAGGATGTTGTGAGAAAAAAAACCCACTGTAATCCTATTAAAACATTAATAAGTACCCACGCCGATTGACCGGAGGTTTAAAAACGGCGGGGGCTCACATTCGCCCAAGAGACTAACGTTATTAATGGTTGGAAACCCTAAGCATAAGACACAGCAATGGGTCCTCGACCGAGTGAGTTAAGTTTCCTGTCTGTCCGAAACGAGTGAATATCCACGTTGCTTTAACAAATCGCTTTATGTTAACTGCAACACTCGGCAATGTGGCTCGTCCCTTGTGTGCAACTGCACCTTCAAGCGATATAAAATCTGAGCAGCTGCTGAATTTGAAATGGAAAGTTTTGTAAAGCCCAGCAGTGGAGCATTGCAAAGACAATAATTGTTTTTTTTTTATCATTTCTGTGCCTTGTAGGAGAAAATGGTTGGGCAGGGTCCAATGGCCATCTGAAAGCCCTGCCAGCCAGAGCAGTGAAAGCTGCTTTCAGAGAGCATCCGTATGGTAGATAATGATGCTCGTGTGCTCGCGAACATTACCGCTGTTCCAACACTTACATAGACACACACAATGTCGATCTTGTATGCACTCTTGCGTGCACACACACACACGCACACAGGCCGATACAGACAGTGGCAGAGGCGCACTATTGTCGTATTTTATTCCCTTTCTACTTGGTTATTGATATATGTATTTGTTTTTAGAGTTTTTTTTTTATAATTCTTCTTTTCCATGCGATGTCAATGTGAACTCGATTTGGTAAAATTAGTCCATTTCATTACAGAGTGTTCCATCACATTCAAACATATATTTTAATAAATAACTGTGTGCCCAATGTTTTTGATGATTTTTCTCCGACTTGTGTTTTTCTATAAGAACAATCGGAAGCATAATGCAGTATAAGCAGTTTCAATGGTAATATGAAACGTGTTGATTACATAGTTGTTCGGTCTACTCCGGTTAAAGTACAGTGGTACTGCAAAGCTCTAAATTGTACATAATCACTTTAAATTCAGCTTAAAACATGAACTTATTGTTGTGGTAAAATATAATTTTTACGGTTTAAACTAAAGCTAGAATTTTTTTATGCAAAAATTCAATGTCTGCGGTTTTAGAAGTAATATACCTGCCTAGCTGTTGTAAGTGTTGTAGCTGATCATTGACGCGGAAGAGAGCTGTAAACACATAACATGTAAATAAAGCAGACGTTTAAAAGCTACAAACTAAATGGAATGGACTGTACTTTTACAATGTATTATTGTGACTTCAAAAAGATAATGCTGTTATAAAAAATATAACTCGGAAGGTTTTGTCACACTATAAAGCTAAAACATTTTAAGCTCATCATAATTCTAAATTTATTCTAAAGCATTCCTAAATAATATTATAATTAATTATAATTAATAAAATAAAAAGATAAATTGTTTTCAAACATTCCATTTGTTGGCCCTCTCTAAGAAAGTGAATGTTAACACATACAAGCATGTGCTTAAAATGTTAACTGTTCGAGTAAGATATGGAATATAACCTATTGCTTTCTTGCTCTGTTTAAGCGAAACTGTTAATAAGTAGCTTCTTACAAAGGGAAGTTATACACAAGTGGTTGCATGCCATGCTTCAAACAAATAACTTGTTAAGTTCTCTTTAAGTGAGCTGTTCATAAGGAATGATTTGTAGCGCCCATCTGAAGGAGTCAAAGGATGGCCCCTAAATGTTGAGCAGCCCAGCATTAGCAAGGTAACCATAATGCAGTACAATAAACCATTTACTAATACTTATTGCTCTGTTTAAATGCCCTAAATCTGCACTCTAAAGTTGTTTTGTTTACGGTTAAACCGATAGCAACTGAGACTGATTTGAAACAATTTAACACCAGTTTTACAGACCGGTTTCGCTCAATTATAATAATAACAACACCCAACAATTATAACATTTTTTTAAAGTAAATAAATAATTGATAAATAACATACCTTTCATACGTTAAACGTACATAAAAGAATTAATGTGTGCTCATAGCAATTCTTAAAATTTCCTTCTAAAGTGGCGTTTTAAAGTATGCGTGAGTTTACCTTCTAACGTTTTAAAGCATTACATGCCGAAGCTAATGTTAGAAGAGACACCAAAAGAACCCAATATTTACCGCCATCCTCAATGGTAATGCTACGGCGTTAGCTTCATTATCTGACACATGACACCTACAAATGCAACCATATGTGCTTTGATGTTTTGCTAAATGGATACAATACAAATGTCTGCATGCTACAAGTCTGATGCATGATGTATTCTTGCACGTCAATGTTTGCTCAGTATTTTATGCTTGATATACAACACATCAATGTTGTGGATGATAAGTGAACTTCGGGTGTTATTCGATTATGATAGTTAAAGACGAGCCGTGATGAAGGAAAAGTTGCAACGTTTTATAAATAACAAAGAGGCTGCGATTAATTTCCACGGTGCATAACCATGTCTCCGAATTCAATCTGCGACAGTTATGGTGGCTTAACGCTCTGTTAGGCTGCAGTAATAGAGCTGATAAGTATGCACACAACACTGACACAAACGAATGGGATAATTTATACAAGCCATGAAAACACGGATTCGATTAAAAGGACGTTTTCTCTCTTTCAACCTCCGTTGATGTAAATTACGTCAATCAGAAATGTTTGAATCTAAATCACAAGTATTTTTGTGTTCACCAGGTGTGATCATACGTTTGAAAAGGTGTGCAATTTCACGTAAAAAGGTGTTAATTGTATATATATATGGGTTGTTACTGCAAATATAATTGTGTAGTTATTGGCCATATATCTTTCCCTGGCCTGTTTTGCGTGCTGAAGAATTGGAAGTCACTCAAGTCTATTTTTATTTACAGGAATCTGATATCTTGAGATGACCTCATACAGCAGGGAATTTCCTCATGCAACACAGAGACTGCACTACAAGGTATGAAGGCCTGCAAAAATTACGAATTCTGTACAAAAAAAATGTGAACTATCATGAACGATAACAATAACAAAAATTTGTGTACGGTATTTATTTTAATGAAAATTGTGTTATGTCTTTAAAATGTTACTTTCGAGTTTGCAAATAGCAAAAAGTTATGTTTATTTTGTCATTGGCTGTAATGCAAATGGTAAATTTGGGATATTGTCGTTTTTGTTTTCATTATAGACTAGATGATAAATCCTACTGGGTTTGGACAATGCACATATAGGATTTCACTCGTCGTATGCAAGTGAGTATATACAAAATACATGGAGTGGTACTGCAATCATAATTCTGGTATTACAAATAAAGTTAATCGTTCAAATTGACTCGTCCCAACAAAGTAAGTTACACTGTGCGCGACAGAGAGATGCGCGCCACCCCTATGCTTGTTTACACATGGTGACACTTTGAACGTTTAATTTGGAAGTGTGATCACTACCAACATACTGTACATGCCATATATTCGCGCAGCCTTGTTTTATTGTGCTTGGCATCTGCCATTTTTATGAAACATACATCTGTTATACATTTTGTGTTTTCTCCTAAATGTCCCGTAATTTGAGTTTAGAACATACGTATTTACACTATTTTACTACTTTGTTGCTTGAGGAGCACATGACCTTGCAAGGCCGATGACGTTGAGACTGCAGTGTCCTCTCTGATTGCTTCCCGAAACCACACAGCTGCAGCGCACGGCACTACGGGGAGACGCTAAGGAGACCATGGCGCAATCATTTCTGTTGTGCGCCAGTTCACAATGCTTTATCCCTCCAATCAACCTTTTTGGAGGAGGGAGAATGAGTGTTAATATTTAATTAACCTCACAGTTTTGAGCATATTTTGCTTATGACGCTGGTCTGGCTTACAGCAGGGATTTGTATGATGTATGAGCAAAATGAAGTGTTCTTAAACCCCTAAATGCAGGTTCTGTATATAATACATGTATTAATAATAATATATAATAATCACAAATTATTACCAAATTGTGTCGCTGGAGTCACGTCACGAAGGGGAAAAACGATTCTTGCTTCTTGGAAATCCTTTACAGTCAGTGCAGCCCCACATCACGGCCACGACAGCTGCCTGCAATACGACACGATGGAGCCGCTCAGTGTCACGTCTTTATCGAGGTCCGCTTAAATAAATAAATAAACAAAAACAATATTCCACTACTTTTTTTTTGTGTGCCACTTTGTGCAGTCCTTGGTGACCTCCAAAACTCGCTCGCCTCGAGGACGCGGTGTTATTCTTAAGTTGCTGCCCAGAATACAACCGACGATCTCGTGCCAGCCTCAGTGTTCCGACAGCATTTGATTGCAGTGCTCTTAATCGTGTTGCTACAAGTGCGCTCCTCACGTCACGCACATGAGGACGGTGACCAGGAGTGTGGCATTGATCCGCCATGCCGTGAAGCTCGTCTTCAAAGTGGCTTCCTGGAAAATCATGTAAAATAGAGAAAGACTACGGCGTGATGTAAAACACGTTTTAGTCCAAACGTCGTATCGCAAACACATTAGGGAGCTCATCATAAATGCCACTCTCGTGTTAATCTGTATTTGTCTGCTTTCATATTTGCATGTAGGGCATATGTCTGTATTTACATTTGCCAAACCAGATATATTTAATTGTTTTTTTTTCTTCGCAGGGTTTTCATGCAAGATGAAGAAGATGCCCTTTGGAAGCCTCACCAATGCTGAAATGATGCCGGCGTTATGCGTCGAAGCAGCCTTGCAATAAGTTCAATCATTTGAGACCGGTTACTGAAATGAAACTATACATACGGTGTGTTTCAGGATGAACTACCACCAGTGTGTTTTTTTACGAATAAAGATGCAAAATGTAACAGACTGTTAACACAACATTGCACGTGTAAGCTAGCGGTACAGCAGTTAACGATTATAATTTGTGAATTTTTACTCTGTAGTTAAACAGTCGTATGACAATATAGCACAATTCGCATGAATACACCGGAAGCCTATTGTGCTATATATTTGACAGATATTTTTAAAGTGGTAACATCTTTTTGAAAGTTTACAAATGCACGAAGCATCATTATCACGCTGTTCATGAATAAACATTAACAATTTGAAACTGACTATGCATACTTGGGGTTGACACGGAAGGGAGGGTTATGGGAATATTGAAATTAGGGAGAGAGAGAGTTGGGGAGACGTGTGTGCTGTGTTTTGTAGGCTCTGTATTTGGCTGTGCGTCAAACACTTTATATAGTTGAGAGTGTAATCAGAGGAGGGATGCGCTGTGTTTTTCTTGTGGACAGAATACTGTTAACCTGATGCATGAGTGTATCTGAAAGTGCAGTAATTGCACACCTTTGGAAGCTGCATATCATGTACATTGTATAGTATACAACAGTATTTTTATGACAAAAAAAGAAGGAAAATACGAACTCCCAACACAGTCCTTGGAATTTATATCGTTGATCTCAAGTTTTAGTTTTTACATCATTCGAATGCAGAAACTGTATTAAACGTTGACGTGAATGATGTTATGCAATCCGCTATGACCATCTATGCAGTCACTTGCACTCACTTTCGGCAGGTGTCAGATTGCTTTTCCACTTTGATGTGATCACACGGGGAGGAGAAAAGTGATGTTACAGGATACCTAATGCAAATCTTTTGCGAGTTTTTATTTAGCGAATGCATTATACGGACGAATAAAAAAAACATGGAAATAATGAAACGTTTAAAATAACATTCTTCACGTTATTTCTTTTTTTAAAATATCCGAATGTGATATGCTCCCTGAACACATACTTATTTCAAAGACAGAACAATTTTACAGGAAGCGAATTCCGTGTTTACTCTGTAATTTGGATTTTAATTAAATAAATAAGACTACGTGCATCATTAGACCATGCACACTTTGTTCATGTGAAGCAAAATTCACCTGTGAATTCCACAAACTCTAACCCAAGGCCTCACCTCCTGTGCAGAAAAGTGTAAGCTTTTCATTACGTCAGCTGTCACACATCGTCAAGTGACTGGGAGTAATATGACTACACAGAACAACCAAAAATGTAATCGTTTTTATTCCCAGCTCAAATTTCGTTAACTCCACCATAGCCTCAGTAAAGCCATCAGTTTCTGCTTTTAAATTCTGACATCACATTGATGAAAATGTCCGAAAACTTGGGAGTCATTGATTTGGAGCTCTCATATTCTTTTCACGTCTCTCCACTCTGCAGGATCTCCTCCCACCTCTACCTGTCCGTCTCCCAGATCAGTCACTTGATTACCCTTTCTGCTATTGAGACCCTTCAACCATCATCGCATATGACTGCTGTGTTCCCTACGGCCACCCAGATTCCCTCACCTGGAAACTCCACATGATTCCAAAATTCCACCGCCAGACTTCTCGCCCGCACCAGTAAATATGACCACATCACCCTAATACAAACACTCCATTCACTGGCTACCAATCCAGATGCAGATCAATGACAGATGGTACCACTACTACGTGGGATTTTTGTGGTTGTGCTTGCACATCTCTGCGATGGGTATCCAGAGAACTGGAGCTTCCAGCACTAAGACCAAAACATCGAACATCATGCCAAGGAACGCGGGGAAGATCCCCAACAAAGCATTGGATAGCACTCCACGGAATATCCTTCATGGACACTTCACCTCACGCGACTCTCATCACGCGCCCTCCCCTCCATTTGTCCTCTGCTCCGGTAACTGAGGTCTCTCCTGTCGAAGCCTCCCATCAGCATCTGTTAAATGGGAGGTAACTCCTTCTCCAAAGCTGCCGGCGGCATTCTAGACTTCCCTCCTCCTGGCTGCATGTGCTGCAGACTCCAGTTCTAGATCAATCCTAGGCTCAAGACTCAACGGCCTTCTTCTTTCTAACAATCATGATTTAAGCTCTCCCCCACCCCAATCCACGGATTCAATATATTGACTCACTTCTGGATAGTGATTGGATGCAATCAATTATTTTTTGCCTCGTTTTTAACTCTTTCCTTTCCACATTGTTTTCTTGTATTATTGTCCCATTGGTACAGTCATGTTGGCTTAATGAGCCTTCAAATAACGATAACATATAATTATATCATTTACATAACTTAGCCAACAATTGATTCTCACAAACAATCCTACGCATATTTTTTCTAACTTAAGAATATGTTAAATAGATGAAGCAATGCATTATTGCAAGCGACTATAATCGAGTTGGGGAACTTTTTATTGAACCGAGAGCCCAATAGGAATAACAACATTTCTTTGGTGGGCCACACCATTAACACACATACACACCTTCAGGCACTTGTCATGGAAAAATAAAGCACCCTTGTCGTGAGACACTAACATTAGAAAGCCATTGTTGCCAGGTCGAACACATTCCCCCTCAAGTACCCAATTAGTGCAGCAACAACGCCTGGGCTGTGAAGGATAAATTTCGTTTGTCGGCCGTTAATAAGTTGTAGGCTTCATGTAGCTGCGGGCCATATACAATGGAAGTTGTGAGGCCAAAAACACCCTCGCTCTGTGAGGTGTCTTCATCACCACATTTACCCTGCCTTTCCTATCAATCCGCTCTCTGCCCTGCAGCTCCCGAACACCTCATAAAAATAACTTAAAGCAACCGCCCCCTCTTCGCAACTGCCTCGAACCCGTACGTCTCTGCGATTTGTACAGCTTCATGATATGTGTTGGTACATTTGTGTGCTTGGGGTTCGACGGTGAGCGCCTAGCGATTGGCGCATCGAACGGCAGTGCGGGGCCCTGGAAGATGAAAATACATCACCACTCCTTGCCACTTTAACATCCCACTCACTTGCAAGCAATAGACGAGGCATCGCGCTCATTCCCTGAAAACAATGCTCGCAGTATGGCGCAAACATTGTGATCATTTTGAGCTCGAATATGCTGAACTAAATGAAAATAGATATTTTTTGTGCAGTCATTAAGGGATTCATTTATTAATGGCCTGTGCATAGACAGGCGCGCGACACGATTCTCTCCTCCGTGTCGCTCTGTCCCCCGCTGCTTTCTTCACCTGTCCGTACGTCCGTCCTTGTTGAACGCCCTCCAGCATCGCTGTTCTCTTCCTTCCTCGTGGACTTTGCCAAACAATCTTCCCTCGGTCAACTCCTTCAGCAAGCCTCGTTCCCTCTCACTACCACCGCATGCCCATTCCAGATGTTGTTTCCTCTTTATAATCCAGTCTTTTGGGCTGAAAATACCTTGATACACGTGAGAGCTGAGTGTTATCATGAGTGACTGCCGCAATTAAAACCCACGTGTTTAGCAGTGTTGGCTTCGGAAGGATCTCAGTCACCTCATTAAACCATTTTTTCAAAATGTATCCCGTGTTCACCCCAGTCATGTGAACTTATGGCTGCTGATGGACGGGCAGACAAAAATAAACATCTCAAGATTTGTTTCAGTTTCATTAATTTGGAATAATCCTGTGAGCCATTCGGCTCTTGATTTGGGTGCAACCGCAACAAACAATAAAATTACAAGATACATTTATCATTTATTGTACACAAATTGAGACATCCCCTACAAAAACAATACAATCTTCCAGAAAAAGCACCATTTGTTTTATGCTGCGTACTAAACTGTGGAAAAAAAAATCCCATTTTGATGTTTAGATCACAATAACAATCATAACACAATTTAGATAAAATTTTTAAGTCTAACTCTATACTACATAAAAAAAAATATCTGGCTAAAACTAAACCTTTCTAGAAATTACTAAAATAATGCTATAAAATCAATGTAACAGTGATCATAAGAAATGTGATTGAAAGTTAACAATAGCGACATACATAACATATATTACATATATTACTACATATTCATAGCGTTCATTAACCGAATGTTTTTTTTTTTACAAAATTTTGAGTTCCTCATACGTGATCCAAACTTTTCAGAGTCCGCTGGAGGATTTGTACGCTGGTTTGGTTGACGGGCCACATTCAGAAACGCTTGATCGCTGATACATGGCACTGTGCCGCTCTGCAGTCACAGACGGGGTCCCTCTGAGTGCCACGTGCGTCGGCCGGTCTGTGCCACTCAGGAGCGTTCGAAAGTGGCGAAGCGGTTAAATCACAGAGGGAGACAAGTAAAACCTTCACAATGGCACGTAGCAGTGCCTTTTTTTACGACGTATTCCCAAAACCGAGCCACCGTATAGCCATGGTTGACATTTACCAATTTCTTTGCTCGCAGTGATATATGTTTTAAAGAGAGAGAAAAAAACCTGAAGTGGCATTTAGTGCTCGCTTATTTCCAATGCTTTAGAGATAGCTAGCATAACTCTGAATGCATAACATCACATCGTACACGTAAACGTGAACTGTTACATTGCTCAATTGACACCTGCAGGAAGACAAAATAAAGGGTAGCTTCATCCAGGAGAGGGAGAATTGTTCTCAACTCTAGACAAAAGACAAAACTTGTTGACATTTCATGTCAATAAATACACCATAGGTGGTCATCTGGCTCGTTCAAATCCCAGGTGCCTTAATTTGTATCTAAAAAACGGTATCTGCTGTGCATCAATGTAGACTACATTTTGACAAATACAAACTGTCTAACACAGCACTGGCGGTATCGTGGTGTGGGTGCATTGTTCAGCGGAGCAGATTTTTACAAACGCATGCCAACGGTGTGGTGATTGTAACCTTGTATACGTTAGTCATTATCTGGAGGTGCGTTAATTACATAACAACCACTTCTGCGTTACTCCAACAATTATTTAAACGACTAACAACACTGCATAGTGTGATTCATCACATTATCTAAACCTACGTGTATTTAACAGGCGTCCCTATGCCGGCACTATCCCTTATAGTCTAGCTAGCCACAATTTGTCTCACTCTTGCACATGACTTGATCTTATTTGTAACATCTCCTCGCCATTAGCACCTCTGATTTGATTGCCGATCCATTGCTCGTTGCACCATTCAATCAAAATGTATCCCAATGTGTACTTTCTAAGCCCACTTGAATGTATTACTCGTGAATGTATAACGCAAGTGATATTTTCACGATCCGTGTGCTCCTCTGCAGGTTTCACTGTGCAATTTCGAGTTTGTATCGCTACATCTTTATTTGCACACTCTTCAGCTTTTGTTACATTATAAATGACTCAGTTATGTTATTCAGTTTAACAAATTCCTTGTTATAATATAACGTTTTTTTAATCGCCTGGCAATCCTTCCGAGTTCAAATTTGCAACTGTCATTGTGCAGTTATTCGATAATTTCCCATAGTTTTACTGATCAATAGAATAATAATTAAATCATCTGATGTCACTACTGAACAAGTAAAGACTGCCCTTTGCAATATGAAACAAGGGGAGATCTCCGAAGCTTGGTGGAATAACCGTGAACATCATTCAGCCAACTTACATACAAAAATGTTAACATATATAATAAAAGTAAACTGTGGAATTAAAGATTGAGACACTTTTCGGACCTATCAGGCTCCTACGACACTTATATAACATCTTCATAAAGACCTGAAACAATTGAATAATGACAAATTTAGAGGTCAACCAATCCCATGCAAAAGTTAGATAGGTTTTTTTTTACAGTTGACCACATGCATACATAGTATGAATCAGATCCCAGAAGAAAAAAACAAGCATCAAAACCATTACTCCTGCATTCTCTAAAATATGAAAAAGCGTATTATTATTATTATTTGAAAACTCCTTCAATCATCCAA